CGGAGCACTCAAGTTGTACTTCTTCCAAGACAGACCTGATTGTTTTCTTGGCACTCTGTGGTACTTTAAATATTCTTTGCCAGCACCATAGTTCAAACACACTGCTTCTTTTCTGGTCTTCCTTATTCAAAGTCCGCCTTTCATCTGCATAGGAGGCACACCCTAACCCTCAAAGTAACATCCTTGCTCTTCCACACTCTAAAGAGCTCTTGTGCAGCAGATTTACCAGTGTAATCCGTCTTTTAATCTCTTGATTGCTGCTTCCATGAGCATTGATGTGAGTCCCAGCAAGATAAAAATCCTTGACAACCTCAGTCTCTTCTCCAATTGTGAGGATTTTGGTCTTCTTTACATTGAGTCTTACTCCATCCGAGGCTACAAGCCTTGAGCGTCATCAGCAAGTGCTTCGAGCCCTCTTCACTTTCAGCAGACAAGGTTGTGTCATCCGCACATCGCGGGTTGTTAATACGCCTTCCTCCAGTCCGGATTCCACGGTCTTCTTCGGAGAAGCCAACTTCTCTGCTTATTTACTCGGCATCCAGATTTAATAAATATGGCGAGAGGATAGAACCTTAAGGTACACCTTTCCTGATTTTAAACCATGCGGTCTTCCTTTGAACTGTTTCCACAGCTGCCTCTTGATCCATGCACACGTTCCACATGACCACCATGAAGTGTTCTGGGATCCTAAGGTTATTCCTAGTGTGTTTCCCTTCAGTCGGATGCCTTTGCACAGTCAATAAAACGCAGGGAGACAGCTTTCTGGTATTCTCTGCTTTCAGCCCAGATCCCTCTGATGGGAGCTGTGATAGCCCCTGCATCCCTTCTTACAGATTAGGAAATGGAGTGGAGTGGGGCCCACCCTCCAGTGCATACGAAAGGACAAACTCGGACCTTGGAGGAGACCTCGGGGGTCCTGCCCTTCCTCTGTCGCTCCGGGTTCTGAGGCTCTGAAGAAGACACCGAGTAGCACAGCTTCAGACTCCAGGAGATGCATCCCTGCCCTTCCAACACACCCAGGGGACAGAGTCCCCCACCCACCCGGGAAGGGAGGCTTCCATTCTGAAGACCGCAAACCTCTACCCCACCCATGCCAGGGAGAGAACGGATGTTAGCACTTTCGCTTGGGCCCCACATCGTAATAAGACTAAAGGCTCTCCAGAGGGCAGGTTTGTCTCTGGGGGTGCCGTAAACACCTGAGTTTTACCATGGTCATTGCTAATTTCTGAGTAGGGACCTTGTTAATTTTACACTTACTTTTAATAGACCCACTGGATTGAGCCATTGCCCTAATGTTGTCATGCAACACCTGCTGAAGAAATAGAAACCCTTTGCTGGCAGTCAGCCAGCAGTCTTCCAGCCCTTGGCCCAGTGACATCCTTGTTAGTGAAGCAGCTCCTCGTTTGGCCTGCACGGCTTCCTGGGGACCCAGAAACCCAAGTTCCATTTGCCCCACACTCGCCCGTCTCCAAGACGAACTCAGTGCAGATGTCCAGCTTCCCGGAGCCCTCGGAGCACAGTGGTTCAGTGCTGTGCTGCTGGTGGCAAAGTCGGAGGTTAGAACCCACCGACTGTTCTGCTGGAGGAAGATGGGCAGTCAGCCTCCGTAAAGACCGATCGCCTTGGGAAGCCTGTGGAGCGGCTCTGGCCCGTCCTCTCAGGCTGCTGTGAGTTGGCGTTGACGCTGCACAGCGGCTACCCGACCTTTCCTTCCTGTGTCTCAGGACTGCATTGGGGTGTATCTACAGACCGATGGTTCCAATAAGCATCTATTGGCACATTTCCTTTATTTTTGAAATTGGGTCTACTAAACATCCACAGACATAAAACCCCAAGTATATGGTAAGCCTTGATTTTCCCAGGGAGTAGAATTTTTGGTTTGGGGCTTCTTTTCTTAACTCTATGACCAACTTAGATATGAAAGTCTTGAATACTGTAGGTGGACTAGGCAAATGCCTGCTTATCATGCAACTTATCAGTGTAACTATGCATTCTTATTTACGGTAGTTATAGATTACTTAAAAGAAAAAAAACTCAAACAACTGCCGTTGAGTTGTTCTTCACCCAGAAATCAGCTGGGGTCTCAAACTGGTGGCCCATAGCCCAAGGCTGTGATCACCTAAAATTGAGCCATACGGAACTGCTGCTTTGAATAGGGTAAAAATGGCCACACGGAAGCACTTCTGCCAGGCAGCCTTTCTGAGTCACCTGCTGGATTTGTCAGGTCAGAGTGTGGTTGTCAGTGCCATCCCTGCTCAGTTTGGGGACCTTTTTTGATCTGCATCTGCCGCTGGCTGGACATTCCTCGCAAGCAGTGTGTGGCTGTGTTAGAACATGAGGCTTTCCCCTCATCACCTGTTGGTGCACACTCAGCTCAGGAATGACTCACGCCTCGTAGGGTACCTGTTGTAAGCAGGTATCTAAGAAAACAGGATAAACGTTGCCCGTTTCCTGCACCATCTTCGTAACTGTTGGTACGTGCTAAGCCCATTGGCCCCTGTGTCGTTTGAGCGTCTTCTTCCAACCTAACAGGTTCATCTTACACCACTCTATTGGGCCACTTTCGGTTGTGATCACCGGCTAATTTTAAGGAGTGAATAATCAGTCCTTTCTCCCTAGTCTGTCTTAGTTGGAAACTCCTCTGAAAGCTGCCTTCCCTGGTGACCCTGCTGCTATCTAAAGTCCTGGTGTCCTGACTTCCAGCATCATAACACACTGACAGAGATCTCAATCACATGGATTTACATATAAATGCCACACTAGTTAATAGGAAGCAAAACTGCTCTTTGTACTCAACAGGGGGTCCTCCTGAAGTCAGAAGTACTTTGCAGTCCATGGGAGAGCTCTTAGAAGCACTCCTGTCTATACCCAACCAGAGCATCTGGTGGATTGGTCTGGGACATTAAGAATTCATACAGCTCACCAGGTAGTTCCAGTACCCACCCTGTTTGAGAATCACTGCTCTTAGGCAGCAGCCCGCTCCTTCCAGGATGCTCCTCAAGAGAAAGCTTGCTATGGTACCTGTGCTACGTGGAAAGTGTTCCTGTCCGTGGGAAGCCTCCCCCTGTGACCTTGGCCCTCAGCGTCCTCATTCCTCCAGCCTCAGTGTCTCCAGGTGCAAACCCTGAGGTCTGAGAGGAGCCCAGAGATGGGCATCTGTAACACGTGACTAATTACTTCTCCTGGCCGAGCAGCCTTTGAGCTGGATCTCCAAAAGTTCAGATGGTTCTGCCCCTGAGTCCCACAAAAGATTTTCTAAGTGTTTTTCATGCCTCTTTGCTAATTTGAAAAGGTGAGAATCCCTCTAACCAAAGTAGTTGCTGTTGAGTTGACGCTGATTCACTCTGACCCCATGTGTGTGAACCTTAGCAGCCAAGCCATGAACAGAGTGTACCACACAGGGACTCCACCATTCCCTCGGAGCCGCCTCGAGCCTTGAGGAATGGGGAACACAGTTATGCTGGTCTGACCAGAATGTAGAGGAGTTCACCAGCATGCAAGAGCCCAGTGAAGACAGACAACACCTCCTGGACACGGATGGGAATCCAGGGTGGGTCTGTCTCCCTTGTTGTGCTTAGGGCTCCAGGAGGCTGAGGGAAGACCCAAGGAAGAGGAGATGGATTCCCAGAATCTGGTAGTACCTGGGGTCCTTGCCATACATAGCCTCTTTGAGCACAGGGCTTCTGCCAACATTTGCAGCCATATTGCCTACCAATCACAGCAGCCTGCCAACCTCTGCATCCATCAGCCTATGGCCTTCCTGCTTCATTAGCCCACACAGCTCCACCAGTCAGGAGAAGCCTTAGCTTATCTGACCCGTGGACGTGAACTGGATTGGACTGAGCTGCTTCTACAACCATGTGAGCTATTTATTGATATATCTTTGTACCTTCATACTCAGATGAATGTCACTGGTTTTACTTCTGCAGAGAACCCAACCTAAAATAGTCATCAAGTGGAGCCTGGCTAATGGTGACCCTACATATGTGAGACGAGAGACTATGCTCTATAGCAGTGGTTCTCAACCTTCCTACTGCCTCGACCCTTTAATACAGTTCCTCATGTTGTGGTGACCACCCCCAACCACAAAATTATTTTCGTTGCTATTTCATAACCGTAATTTTGCTGCTGTTATGAATCGGGCAAGCCCTGTGAAAGGGTCGTTTGACCCCTAAAGGGGTCGCAACCCACAGGTTGAGAACCGCTGCTCTATAGGATTTAGCAAGTAGATCTCCAGAACTTTCTCCCAAGACTTCTCTGTGTGGATTTGAATGACCAACTTTTGGGTTAGCAATCAAGCACTTATCCATTAGCTCTGCCCAGAAACCCCTATCAATCAAAGCAGTTAGTTCTATGACTCTAATAGATAAGGGAAAATTTGATTTTTGTTTTATTTTTATTTCTTTACCTTCTGTGTTCTCCAAAAGCCACTGCCATTGAGTTGATCAGTATGAGAGTAGACAGCCTCATCTTTCTCCACAGGCACAGCTGGTGGGTTTGAACTGCCAACCTTATAGTTTGTTTATCCAACCATGCTGCAGGTCATGGGAAATGAACTGCCATCCTCCTTGGGGCTCCTCTCCACCCCCAAGATTGAACAAAGACCCGGAGTGTTACCATGAGGTCTGGGGAGGTCTGGGTAGCACCCAGCCACCTAGCCCACAGTCTTAGAATTTTGAAACCTGCTCTCTGCTCAGAGCAGGGGTGTAAGGTTGAAAGATGAAATGTAGAAGCAATCGGTGTAAATTAATATCCCAGTAGTTACAATTAAATCTGTGAAGTCCAGAAAGAAAAGCAAAACTCAAATATTTTCCACTGGCATGAGCTATAGAAAAGTGGTTCAGATTGCACCCTGTCAAAGGCTGAAAACGTGTGAGACCTTGGGAAATAAGGCAGCCCTGCTGAGTCCAAGCCCTGAGCTGTCTTGTCTCTGACCACTGCATGTTCCGGGAGATACGGGTAGGCTGCAGTCTGGTGAGGCATCCCCCGTGTCTCCACAGTGCTCGTCCACCTGTGGGAAGGGCCTGCAGTCCCGAGTGGTGCAGTGCATGCATAAGGTCACCGGGCGCCACGGCAGCGAGTGCCCCACCTTCGCCAAGCCCATCCCCTACAGACAGTGCCACCAGGAGGCCTGCAATGACAAGATCAACGTGAACACCATCACCTCCCCTCGCCTTGGTGAGTGCCTCTACCACTGCCCCTGCTGGTGGCGGAGTTACAGAACCAGAAAACTCCCTTAATTGCACCTGGAGAGCCCCGTGTTCATTGGTCCGGTTGGTTTGAAGAGATTTCAAAGGCGGAGGTTCCTTCTTTGTCCTGGAAAATACATTCCCTAGCTAAGTCGCAAGCACAAGACTTCGCATTCTCCACTAATCCCTTCTGTCGCAAATTGGGAACATGTGAGAACGGTTTGTAAACCTTTTAATGTGCCTGTGAGGGAAGAAGGCTGGGGACATGATTTTTTTCTGAGCGTGAAAGATTTGGGGGTGCTATTGGCAAATCCTCGATGATGCCAGGATGCGGTCATTTCAGGCTAATGTGTGAAAACAAAACCAGACACGTTGGATAGTTAGGACAATTTCGATTCGGCAAGGAGCTTCTACCGAGCGGCTGGGTCCTGGAGGCACCTGTCCCTTGACCAGTCCATGCCATGGCCTGCGGGGCCATGAGAAGAGCATCATTTTTAAAGAACACTTCTAGTGGGGGCTCTTACATCTCTTATCACCATCCAAGCACTCCTCCAGTGTGTCAGCACATTTGCACATATGCCGCCATCATCATGTCCAAAGCAGTCCCTTCCCCCTTGAGCCCGATATCCGCTCTCCATTTCTTCCCCTGCCCTCCCTCCCTCACAAACCCTTGGTAAGTTATAGATTATTGTTTTCGTATCTTATATTGCCCTCCCTCACCCCTCACCCACTTTTCCATT